AGCACGTTGGCTATGGACGTCACCTTGATCCTTGAGTGCAAAAACATATCTTTGTTTTACTTTGGATGCTAAACAGCATAGCCACACAACAATTTATATCACAAGGGCTCTTCCATGACTGAAGAGATTACCATTTTGAAGCAATTGAGGTGTCTGCGATCCCACCTGTATCTCATTAGCACAACAACAAGGTGCAATAACATTAACACTGCTGTTCCCTCCCCAAACACAAGTATCTTAATAATATATCTAAATCTATCAGGCTGACCCCCTGCCCCCCAACACACACACAGAAAAGCCACTCTAGTATGATAATAAAACACCAAGAGGCTTAACCGACTCACCTGGAGGTCATAGGCGGTGAAGAGCTGAACTTCAGACACTTCATCTTTGCGTGCCGCCTTCTTCCTGAACAAGCTCAACAACATGCCGATCCAACTCCGCGTAAAAGTGGTTCTTCAGGTTGAGGTTCGTTATCCTGTGAAACTCTGCACAAATCTGCCAAAATATAAAATGACTATTTAATTCAGAGTACAATGTATATGTGGACTGAAGGCAGCAGAGATAAACAGAAACATGACATGCTAAATCTGAGCAAACATGTCAAAGTTATCAGTGACAAAGGCACACAAAATTATTATATAGTTGTAATATCTCAAATATTTTCACCTGTGACTCCATTTTCAAGGCAGGTCAGCATTCCAGGGTCTCTCCAACAGGTAGCTCATCATTGATGATCTCATTGCGCCGCAGGGCAAAGGTAGTCTGCATTAACTTTGCAATCAAATCACTGGTTTTTATCTCTCATCTTAACACACACTGGCAACCCATTGTAAAATGAATAGTCTAGTATTTCAAGTTAGCTTGCTTTTTTTACAAACATGCAGAATGCACGGTTATGGTAATTGTAGTGGATAAAATGAACGTAAATCCTCTATGCCTCTAAGTCATGGATGTATAATAAGAACTGGATACAGCGTGGGAGGCGGGGCCTCATTCATTCCTATGAGAGTTGCTCATTAGCGCATGATGACAAAATGGCCCAACTTTTGAGAGAGCGAAACGTCACAGATTACCCGGCATGCCTGAGAAGTACCCGTATGTGCGCTCATAGCGCATGCGCAACTTTAACCACGCCGCCCAAAAGGCTCGTTCACATTAAGCACGTGAATTTGCGTACAAGTAACAGCACCGCGCGTTCATGACAGCATGGTACTGGATTTATATTAACGAGGCGGCAGTTAGCAGCTAGCGGCTAGCTAGTAAATTATGCTATGTTACACATCAATCGTTATGTACTTTTTAGGGATGCTCCGATCGAGATCGGCCGATAATCACTCTCTACCGATCGATCGGTGCTCTCTAAACATGCCGATCGCGAGAGCGATCTGTGTTCGGCAAAACAAGCTCGCCAACATGGCTTCACCGGTCTGGCATTATTTTAAGGTGTCCGAAAAAGACAGTAAAATAGCGGTATGCAACGTGTGTGTGAAGCAGAAATCCTGCAGCTCCGCCCGCCGGACCGGTGAGCGGAACGAAACACACAAGAGTTAGACCTAACACACTTAGCTATTTTATCTACCTCTGGAACAAGCTAAACTAGTTATACATATATTTATTCTTCACTGTCGGGTCACTCATCATTACTGGATCAGTGAGCTGCATGAGATACTGACCGGCTGTCAGGAGAGAGAGAGAGGGGGAGAGAGGGGGGAGAGAGAGAGAGGGAGAGAGGAAAAGAGAGCGCTTCCGCTCATTTCTCCCGTGTTATTATCCAAAGTGAATGTAAACTTGAATAATGTACATCATTTGAATGTAATAATTAAGTTGATTGTTGTTTGTGGAAGCTCCAGTGACTGAGTTTTAAACATCACTTTAAATGGAAGATTTAAAGTGATGTTTAAATCTTCCATTTAGGCCCCGCCCACTCGATCGGATCGGCGATCGGCCGATACTGATTCCAGCGATCGGCGATCGGCCCCGAAATTGGCGATCGCAGCATCCCTAGTACTTTTATATTACGCTGATATCAGGATCTAGTGATATCCAAGCAACAGAGCTTAATTTAGCATGATACTTGTGTGGGTTGTACATGAAACCACTTGGTAATATATAAAAATGTATGTATTTTGAAGCCTGTTATGATCAATTGTGAGTTAAAACTTTATCTAAAAAGTAAAGCTGATGATGGATTACTGTGGTGGGGTTAAAATAACAATAGCCTATTTCTTTTTGAAATGTGATGGAGTAAAAGGATAGTAACTGTGACTATTCATGTTAAGTAGCCCACAAGTAACTAAAACGTATAATACTTGAAGGAAAGGTGTAAAATGTTCCCATAAATACCAATATCACAGTACAACACCCCTTGTTGTTAAATACCAACCATGTGTATATATATATATATATATATATATATATATATAAATATGCCGCTAAAACTGTGTAATATACCAGGCTGCTAAATCCTCCAAACTGTTACAGGATGTGTATTTTGTGAAATTTGTATATTTTTTTAATTATAATTTCTTGTTTTGAATCTTTAATACTTTTTTTATGCATACTTTAAGTAACATTAGGCTGTCTTTGGCTCTTCTCTGCTGTAACAATGTAAATGTATTCTGATCTAATTGATATTTTTGTCAGTTTGTTTCCCTATATTGCGACACTTATTTGGTTTAAGATTATTTCTCCTTTTTTTACAGACATCCCAAACCATAGTGGAATGCTGTTGTAAAGGATTGCATTGATCCGTGCATCAATACCTTCACCCAGCTTTGAGGCCTCCAATGAATGAACATCATCTTGTGGCTGGGAAAAATGTGAACAAATAAATCTCACAAAGAGTGACTTTCTGGTGTAATCATTATAATATCAAAGACAAGCACTTTAAGTAACAATATATAAAATCATTCAGCAGCAGAGGATGGGGTGGAAACAGCATTTCTAACTAAGATGATTACAATATTACAAGTTAAACATCAAGATGAACATACTATTATTAATTTAAAAAGTACATGGGAGACTTAAATATCCTGCAATATACCATTAGCAGAATAGGAACAAATGTGCCAAAACATTTCTAAATAAACATAAACTGAGGGCTTTCTTCCTGAGCCGCTGGGAGGATCACTTTTTCAGCGGAATAAATATTATAACTGGTTTTGTTCAGCATTGCCAGCTTCACTGTTGAGCGTGATGTTGTGCCCAGCATTCTCCTGTCATGTGCTCTGAAATCAAAATGTGGATAAGAATAAAACAACACTAAAATAAACACTACAATACAACTTGTAAAACTTTTGAAAAAACACAAGGTTGTTCATTTGTGTGTATACAACACAGGCAATATACATATATATATATATATATATACAATTATAATTAATACAACTGTTAATTTGATTAGAGCTTTGACACATATCTTTATTGATCAGTGGCGAGCCGTGACTTTTATACCTAGGCTCTCTGACTCCCCCCCCCCCCCCTTCCCTCGAAAAAAAAGAAGAGTTATTACGTCACAGCGTATACTTCAGCGGAATATCAAAACAGCGGCCCGGGGTGCAAAACGCATCAATGACAGCGACCCTCTACCACACAAAACAACACCATTTATATAAACACCTATCATGACAGGGCACCCACAGCCAAGTAACAATTACAAATGAATGAAGTCGGCACGGCGGCCCACATTGAAAATGACCTTTGATGATCAAATCACTGAAACACAAAGTCCATCCTCCTTTCCTTTTGGATGAAGCACTTGATGGCGGGTCATTCAGCTGATCCTTTGCCACTCCAGTTTATCATTGTAACTCAATCTTGAAAATGACTCGGTTAATAATTTTGCAAACGATGTCATCACTATCATTGAAGTGAGCCATCATGAACGAACTTATGCTAATCATAAATCTATCCATCATAAATCTATCGATTGGATTTATGATTCGAAAATAATATAAGTAGGGTAGACGTGGATATTATCCGGCTGAACAAAACGTGCATTTATCCAACAGGTTCGTTTTCCACAGACCTTATTTTGAGCTATTTTCCAAAACCCTATGGAGAAATCCCGTTGCTTTCTGTCGAGGGAATCCGAGTGAAGCTTACTTCCGGGTTATAGGATGCGTCACTGCACCACTTGCATAGACCAGAGCCCTAGAGAGATAAGAGTTACGACACTCCCATAGACCTCCGTTGTAAAAAATGGCGGCGCCTACTTCCGGGGTATGGACATCGAAATAGTTCAAAATATTGTCATTTGGGCGTTGAACCTCATTCACTTACATTACGGCGCGTCTATTAGTTCCAGAGGTAAGTTGCTGAAATATCGAACTCTTTTGAATTGTCAACTGTCTATATTGTATCAGAGGCCCTTTATGATGCTTATACTGGTCTTCATTTGTATATGCACAGCGTAATTATCTATATTTTATCTTGGTTGTTACAACCAATTTAGCTAGCATTGCCTGCTAGTTAGCTAGCGCGACTTCGTCAGCTTTGAAGGTAAGATTTCAGTAATGAATCGCTAGCAGCTTATATATCAATGATGCTGGGTAACTAACAAGCAGGATTTAGATTGATTATGTGTTTTTATTGTTATTTTGGTTTTTATCCGCTGAACCTGACCGTGTCAGCCATCCTTAGTCGGCTTTTTCTGTATGATATGACTTAACTGCTAGCACTAGTAGAAATGAGGTGGCGTTTGTGATAAATATTTCATTTAATATTTCATTGAATTTTGGGATATACTAACATTTCATTATGTGACATGTTGACTGTACTTTGTTTTTTTTTGTACTGTTCCGTGTTAACTCATCTGTACTGTACAACTAGCCTAGCGCTACTTTTTAATGCTTGATAGCATGCTAGGATAGATTCCTTTGTATTGTAATATACACACTAGTTTAATGATTGTTCTTCAAATGTATTATTCAGTCTTAAACAAATAATAGCCTACTGAATAGGCTACTCTACAGCAGTGAATGAAGGATGAGCCTAAAACATGGTCATGCATCCAAAATGTTTATTTTTAACAAAATAAACACTTTAAAAATAATAATTAGCACTTTTTTTTATTCAGCCTCATATGTCAGCCTCATATGGCTGTTGCTGCTGCTGCTGCTGGAGGAGGCTGCTGCTGCTGAAGGAGGGTGCTGCTGCTGGAGGAGGGTGCTGCTGCTGAAGGAGGGTGCTGCTGCTGGAGGAGGGTGCTGCTGCTGGAGGGTGCTGCTGCTGAAGGAGGCTGGTGCTGGCAACGGCTGCAGGTGATGACTGCTGAAAGAAGAGGAGGCTGGAGGCTGCTGACGGTGGACCGGGAATGGAGATGCCAAGTACATCGATGGCAACGAGTAAGGTGTTTGGCAGTGGCCTAGATGTTATGACCTTCGGTGCAGAGGTCTGTTGGGTCTTCTTTGCCTTCTTACTCTGACTCTTGCTGCCAAGATACCCTTTATGTTTATCCTTCCTCTCAGCCCTGATGCACTTTGATGCAATCCTTAACCTCAGCCTGATGTATGTTGAGAGGATTTTTTTCTTCAGGTCATGGCATGAGGGAAGGTTGCTGTCCAGCAACATGGCTTCTTGTGCCAGCTGTGACACTGCATTTGAGGACTCCATGAGGGAATCGCTCGTCCTCACACGGAACAGCTGCTCCACGTTCTGAACAAGGGTGAAAACCTCATCAGATGGACGGTAAAGTGCACCCCTTTTAAATTATTTTAATACCAGCAGACCAGCTCTCTCATTTTCACCATCACTGACATTTTTCACTAGGGCACACTGGCATTTGTCACAAAGTGAGAAGCTGATGACCCTTTTCACGATGTATCCTGCAAGGTGGTATAGCACACAGGACTCAGTTTTAGTGATGTCAGGTGGTGTTGTCAGGTCTACTAGCTGCTCCACTCTCAGAACGTCAGGAGGACTGCAGCTGCTGTTCTGCATGTCCAGGAAGTGTGCCAAGTGGTCTGATCCATCCTCCACGTAACTGCCAGTATGCACTGGCAATAGGAACTGGCCCACAGTGACAGCGCGCAGAGCATATTGGAACTCTACAGGTGTTGGGACAGAGTTCCTCAGACGAATGGACGAAAATGTGTTTTCCAGGCAGTCTTGAGTGAAGCGGCTTGTGAGAACAAATTTGTGCCCTTGTCTCAACAGGTCATGCTGGACCTCCAGGATTGTTGTTGTGGCCATCATCAGTCCTGTCTGGACTTCCAGCTGCCCTTGGGACCGATCTTCAGGCCCCGAAACAGATGGATGGAGTCCCGGAGGAAGCTGATGGCCTTATCATACTCCTCCATCTTGAAATGACTTAGGGGAGTAACAGTGTTGCGTGACGACATGAGGTCAAACCAGTGGTCCACCGTCTCCAAAAACCACGCAGTGGTAAGGTAGGACTCTGGTCTGTGCTCCTCTGCCACCATGTACCTCAGGGCAGCACTCGATGACTCCACACTTCAAATGTCATTGAAGAGTCATAATTCTCTACACTTGGAAATATGATGCCCTTTAAAATGTTAACAAGTCATGTCACCTCTGTGAACATTACTTACATGACAGTTTTCTGCTGTTGTTGTTGTCCTCTGTCAGACACAGGTTTTGTCTGTTGACCATTGCCATCCATCTCTTCCTTCGCTCTATGTCCTTAGAGAAGCCATACATCCGGAACCCCTTCTCGGATCGATTAGAGCATCCAAATGCTGCACATCCAACCATGGTATGACAACTGATCTATTAAAATGCAATATAAACGAAAGTGCCATAATATTTATTGTGCAAACATTTTATGCCCTCTGTTCAGTCTGCTCCCAACTGTATTCTCTCCCCTTATTCACCACTGTTCCTATTCTTGTTCTGCTTTTTAGGGCCCAGGAAACAGATGAAGAGGATGAACCTTTCACAAAGGAACCTTTTTATTTTTTTCAAAATGGTTAGGATGCCCGAGAGTTCTGTATTGCTTTTTTGTAAATAGTTGCTTACCCTAACCCTTTTTTGTAAATAGTGGCTTACCCTAACCCTTTTTTGTAAATAGTTGCTTACCCTAACCCTTTTTTGTAAATAGTATTGCTTTTTTATAAATAGTTGCTTTTTTGTAAATAGTTGTTTGTAAATATTTGTAAAATACCCCCCCCCCCCCCCCCCACACAATTGTTGTTCGCACAATTATGCTTCTGTTTTTCACTTTTTGGTGTCCAATGTTCAGTCACTGTATTGGTAAGCAACAATTTGTTTTGGCCAAAATGTGTTATTCACACTCCTGACTCCAGTTTGAGTGTGCTGCATTCTCCTCTGAGTGATTTCAGGCAGAGGTCATGGCTTGGAAGGTTTTATATTCTGTAGTGTCTCAACAGAACCAAATATGAATTGCTTTATTGTCTCGTCGCTGGATCACCTCCCCCTGGCAAAGTGGCCTCGTTATTGTTGACAAACCTGTTTTTGTTGCTGGTTCAACAGGAGCTTCTGTAATAGTTTTGTAAATAGTTTGAATATTTATCATAGTAATCATTTTCAGTCTCCCACTCTCTCAATTTAATTTATCGTTTATTTGCCCCACCACATGTTTTGTTGTCCAAGGGCACTAATTTGCTCTGTGTTGAAGATTGTTTTACACTTTAGATTAATCAAATTGTGTTTTTTGGCTGAATTAATCTTTTTCTGTTGAACCCTAACCCTCTTTGTTCTCCTTCTCATTAATTTGACTTTGTGTTGTTCTAACACACATCCCACATCACATCACTTTTTCCATACACTGTTCTTAATACTTGTTCACACATTTGTTCGTCCCTTTTACTTTGTTCTTCCTGTTGTTCTTGTTCAAACACATATATCAATTGTTCATCCACTGTTGTGGTAAAATGATATTCATAGTCTTAACATGATCATGCTACCCATGCTAACATGAACACAAACGTTTCCCTCCAAAAATGTAAAACGTATCTAAGTAATAGGCTACCAAGCTTTCCGTTGTCACCCTGCCTCTCCAAATGCAAAACTGTCAATAAAAAGTATGCAATAATGCAATTACAGCTGAAAAAATACTTGGGTGTGTGTGTTTTTTTTATATATATGTACCATTCAATAACGCAATCGCTGCTGTCTGTCTGTCCCATAGAAGAACATGACAGCGCAGCGCAACTATACTACGGACGTGACTGCCCTGGCAGTGACAGCAACATAGCCTGCTTGTGCTGCCACACTTTTCCCTCAAAATATCGTTAAATAACGAAACTTGTAAATAGTGCCAATCCATACAAAGTGTAACCACATCATGTAAATATGAAAGCAATCTTTAAAAAATAACAGCGTTGGTTTAATCTATGACTATTTTGACCATGTTTGTGCTGTTTTTGCCATAGAGAAGCATTGCCACGGAAGTGCGTTTGGAACTATCCCGGCATACATAAACCACGTGACCGGCTGGCGGCGACATCAAAGAGTGTCGTAACTCTTATCTCTCTAGGGCTCTGGCATAGACCTCACAGCGGGCGGAACTTGTCATAAAGTCCGCGATAATAAAGCCCGCCCATTTAGAGGGAAGATATGATTGGTCAATTGTATGTCATTTGACATTACTCTCTCATTGAGTTACTATAGCTGGCCCTCTGTGAATGTAGAGAGGGACCAACAAGCTCTCCCGTCTTCACAGTAACTCGCAGAGACGGCATTTAACCCTTCACATTCCAACAGAAACTGAACAGGCAGATTCGAAGGATTTATTTATTTGGAAATGTTATTTTAAATACAATTAAATCAAGTTATTTTGGTAAAACTAATGAAACATTTAACAAAAAAATATATTTAAAAAAATGTTTTATTTAATGTTTTCAAATATTTTTTAGAATATCTTAGGCCCTCACAGAGGGCCCTGACGGCTCGCCACTGTTATTGATATATGTATAAATATGACGACTTAATATATAGTCGGCCTAATAGCAAACAGCTACGTTCAACTCTTTTAATGGTATATTATTGCAAGTGCAATAAGAAGCTACAGGAACGTTAATCTACGTTGGTAATATTAACTTTATTTAATACAAGATTTACGGTACAAGATTTACATCATACAGCCCATGTAGTATAATATTTTACAAATGATTAATTACAGCAAACATGTGCAATATATCCATTATTACAGCTCCGTGGGCTGGCAGTAAGGCGATATGAACACGTAAAGGCCCTGACACACCAACCCGATTTTGGGAGTCAGAGGCCGTCAGAGGCTGTCGGGCATTCGCGGCGCCATAGTCAGGTTGGTGTGTCCTGCACCGTCTGCCGTGACACGCCTTATTTGGACTGCCTGACCCGATGCATGGCCGATTCAACATGTTGAATCGGCCATGCATCGGGTCAGGTAGTCGGACCAAGCAATCACTCTGATTGGCTGTTCAGCTAGCGAATCAGAAGCGAAACGGAAGTGAGGGACGTAAACAAACGATTTAAAAAATCACACACAGACCAGTGTTGCCAACTTGGCGACTTTGTCGTTAAATTCGGCGGCTTTCCAAACCCTCCGGCTACTTATTTTTGTCAAAAGCGACTAACGACTAATCTAACGACTTGCAATGGTGTTATTAGGGACTTTTCTGGTGTTTGGAGACTCACGTATTGTTCTGCAGTTAACGAGCTGCCGTGAGCCCCTCAGCCCTCCCATAGTACTGACAGGCGCACAGACTCACAGTTGCCTCCCGCAGCAGCTCAGCTGCAGTCAGAGCAGAGAGGAGACAGCCACACTCTCCCGCGTCGAGACAGCTTCAGTCACTTAATCACCTCGTCCACTGTGTGTGTGCCTCTCTGTGACAAGCTAAACATCCACGTCGTAGGTCATCATGTCACAGTCTAAACTGTATTCACAAAAGTACAGAAAGGAGTGGGAATCAAACCCTGAGTTTAATTCAAGGATGGTTGAAGCCATTTATTGGAGATGACACACGGGCATACTATACTACCTTTATTGTAAGGGATATTTCTACTAAAAACTACTCGAACTATTTCTACTTTCTACTATAATACATGATAAAATATGTCTTGATTATATTTTGTAGTGTTCGGAATCTTCAAACTTAACTGAAGTTATCAAATAAATGTAATGTAAAACTGAATCAAACCATAAACAAGGTGGCCTGTTGGGATTACTATATATATATATATATATATCTGCATTATTTTATCCCACTTTATGCTTTGCTCTTGCTGCTTATTTTACACTGATTTTATATCTTATTTCTTACTGATGTAAAGCACTTTGAACTGCAATCCCCTGTATGAAAGGTGCGATACAAATAAAGTTATTATTATTATTCAGATGGATGTTTCTGCCCCTCTGTTCATTCTCCCATTATCCTCCTCAATCTGCCTAGAAGTATTTTAATGTTGTAGCTGTTACTATAACCAATACTAATGCTAGGGCTGCAACTGACAGTTATGTAGGCACATTGTTATTGTTTCTTATCGCTAACCCCACTTATGGCTGATAGCTCCAGTGCCGCACGAAACATGTTTTCGATGGACGAGAGGGAAATGGAACGCACACGCTATTCGTTGTTTGTTTATATCATGCAGTCTGTTCTTCTTCTCTGTCTTCCGGTTGTTGCCTCTTTTGAATGACGAATACACACTACCGCCGCCTGCTGGTAAGGAGAGTTATTGCCACTCATGCACTGAAGTCTTTGCGGTGTGTTCCCGTGCGACACATGGCCAAGACGCAGGAGGACACGACGACGCAACAGTCGGCTTCGGCGAGTTCTCTGGTGTCTGCTTGGTGTGTCAGGGCCTTTACATGAACGTGCCGGGCGGCGCGGTCCCGTGGGTTAGATGCGCGTTCATAATGCCGAGGGAAATAACTCTCAGAATAACGTTATTAGCACATTTTTACAACTTGAGGAACGAATGTTTTTAATAAGGGCTATACAAACGTTCATACTGGGTAGTTTATTTAGTTTAAAAAAAAGTATCCAACGAGTTACAGACAACTCTTTCCCAATGTAAGTCAATGGGAAAAAGTGTTTCCCGGCCCAGCAACCTAAAGGAAGTGTAGTACCGCCGTTTGGCCACAACGAATATTCTCATCAGACTCCGGCTTGCTCTAAGTTAATAAAATATGCTCAGACATGCATGCAGTAACAAAAAAGAAGAAAAAAAACTGCCGCCATTTGCGGTTCGAATTTTCCAGAGAACGTTTGCAACACAAACGTTCCACTTTGAGATATAACTTAAAGCAATATAAAATACTGTCTTACACGTTTAAATCATTTTTCAAGTGAGGCAGATATTAAATCTAGGCTAGCTAACAAGAGCTCAAATCAAACACCATGCGACACAAAGTGCATTCGATGCAGAAATTAATAAAACATCATTTAAATACTGTGCAAAGGCAAGACGTAACTTACCAGAGTCAAATTCCGGCAGTGAGACTCGAGAGCACGGTGGGCAAAGTATACTTCTGAAAGTTTGAGTGATTTCATCCGAGAGGAGCTATAATGGCGGACTCAAATGAACGCATGGGTGAGAGCAGTGAGGCACGTCGGGGGCGGAGCACATACGTGATGACGTCAGACAGATTCAGTAAAAACATTTGAGTACAATCCCCAATATGACCCAAAGTGGATGAATACTGTATACACAATATTACAAATGAGTTCATATACATCAGAAAATTTGTGGTGAATTAACTTTTATAAATGTTTGGGTTAAAACAACCCATATTCTTCAAGAAGCTTGTACTGTTCGGTCTTACAGTGTAATTAAAAACTGTATACAGGGTTGCCAACTCTCATGCATCTGGCGTGTGACACACGCTTTCAATCTCATGCTCTCACGCTGCCCAAACTATTCTCACGCCAAAAACAAGATGGACCGGCAATCGTTTTTGGTTGGTTATTTACAATGTTGAGTTGACAGCTGCTCAAGCTGTCGATCCGCTCCCTCCCCGCCCCCACCAGTGGGAGCCGGTTGGTCTAGTTAATCCCCGACCTGTATTGCGCATGCGCAGATCTAAGATCCAGTAGAAATGATAA